CGGCGACCCCCGGGCCTGCTTCGACCCCGGGCGTTCCCCTAAGCTCCGCGCTGTGGGTGGGGTGGCCGTACCAGAAGCGGCTGAGAAAAAATGAATGGGGGTGAAGGGAGGAGGGTGAGCGGTGGGAGGGCGTGGGGTCCCGAGGTCGCCATGCCAGCGACCCGCCTTCCTAAGTCGGGCAAGGCCGACTGAGCTTGCCGCCCAATGGCAGGGCCGGGGCCCGGGAAGGAAACCACAGTCCTGACCTCCCCGCAGCTGCCAGAATAGGGGGTCCCCCTGAGAGGCACCTTAGGGCACCCTCGGTGCACGTGAGGGCTGGCGGTCCCTTGGAGAGGTCCTGCACCCTGCTCGGCTGGTCCCCAACGCGACGGGGGCTACGGTCGCGCCTGCAAGAAAGCTTTTGCCTCTCAATGAACCATCAGGAGCAGGACACCTGGGCATTCAGCCTCTTTTCCTTTTTCTTCTTTTCCCTCGTGTGTGTGTGTGTGTGTGTGTGTGTGTGTGTGTGTGTGTGTGTGTGTGTACACGCGCACGCCCCCACACTTGTCTCAGCTTTACCCTGTCCGGGTGCCCTGGGTTTAACCCCCCAAATTGCGTACTTCTGTGAGCGCAGGGACCCTCGTAGGACCGAGTGCTCTCCAGGAGCCAGGACGCCGCGCCACGCCCCGGGTGATGCTCCCCACTCCGCCCGGTTGCGCTCTGTCCTCCGGACTTCTCTTCGTGCACCCGCTCTTCCGAGCCTCGCTCTCTTCCCGCGCCCACGCGCCCCCTCGTTGGCCCCCTAGGGTCAAGCTTGGATTGTGTGCGTCCCTCTCTGGCTCGAGGCGTTGGCACGACGGTCTGATGGGGCTTCGGTGAGACGCGCAGCCCTGAACCCCACACACGCTGCGGAGGACACGCCTACGTTCGGGCTTCGCTTTCCCTCACCGCGACACTTGGCAGTTACCTGACAATGCGATGTGGGGGTGTCCATTGTTCCACCGCTTGTTATTGTGGAGTGTTGCTCATGTCAGTGGTGGAACTTAAAATTACACATTTTTTTTTAACTTAAAAGATAGAATGAATTCGTTGTGGGGGGTATGTGTTAGCTTTTTGTTAAAATCCCAGTTTGGCCTGCCAAACGGGGCTCATTCTGGGTGTTACTTTGTCTAATTTGCATCTGAGCATTCTTTTGTTTCTTGAACGTCAAATTAGAGATATCTGGGTGTGTACTTCGGGGTCCCGGTCGCGAGAAACTCTTACCAGGAAAAATGTTAAAAATCCTGGGGCGGCTATCCAGGACGCCGAAAAGCCAAGAGAATAGGACTGGTGAGGTTTCAGGGAGCGCTCGGCGGTACAGCATTCCCTATTCCCCATTAAGGATTTTTCCAGTCGCTTCCGAGAACGTACCCAGGTATACACAGGTGGTGAGCCCAAGCCCTCTGACCCGGTCCCAAAGTCTGCTGTGCCCACAGCGAACCTAAGACACCCGTGCAGCCAGGAGCCCAAGCCTGTCTGCCCTAACTCTGCTCCAGCCCCGGCCCCTACTGGACCGATGACAACACAAGTGTGTGAGCCTGGGTGTGTTTCACAGTGAGGAATACCATCCAATGCTGTTACCGGAAGGGAGAGAAGACGGGGAGGTCTTTGGTGGTTTTCAGTCTGAATTTCATCATAAAAAAATCTGAGAAATAATATGTGGATTGGAATTAGTTTGTTTTCTCTGTTTTGTCCTCTTGGTCTTTAATGAGAAGTAGTGAGAAAACTTTTTATGGACTTTAGAATATTCTAAAATTGCAGCCTACGTTGTAAATTGTACACCAAGAGAAGCTTTTTGCCTTCTGGAAACATATTTAAGTCCCCACCATTTCCTTTGGTGCCAGAACCATTACAATTGATTCACTGTTGGTCAGTTCATATCAAATAACAAGTTATATACCCCATGTCCTAAGATACAGTTTCACAAGTTAAGAATAAAATAAACAGAAAAGGTGAACTGTAGCCCAGAGTTATATTTAGAGGCAGCTATACTTCCTTTAAAGAAAAGTACTTACTCTGCAATGTTTCAGGCATTTAATTTTAAAAAAATGATATTCACAGGCATATATCCTCCAGAAAACAGATGTGAGAACATTATGTTAGAATCCACAATGCATATCTTCAGTGACAGAATAAAAGCTCCTAAAGTATATGTGAGGAAACTTTTAGTCTAGAATGAACTTCAGAACTAATGATTGTTATACCTTGTTAGTGACAAGGTGTAGGTTTCTTCAAATATACTATAGATGAAATCAATTATAAAAAGTGTTGTTGCTTTATGAATTTGGACATACCATAAGGCCAATAATGTTCCCTATATATCATAGTGTCTGTAAGACTGTAACATTATGTGGATAGAAACATTCATACATATCTCAGAAGAGCTACTCTTTTGCTAATATGATTTACCATTAGACTCCCCACCAGCGTGCTCTCTCTCTCTCTCTCTCTCTCTCTCTCACATACACACACACACACACACACACACACCCCTCTGGACATAGAAAAGGTTTTCAATGTCCCCTTTACCATCCTATCAGTCATCAAAATGGGTAAGGACTGACCTTTTATACATTCCTCAGGTATATTTTTGTGACTTCATTTACTCATCAAGACCACTCTGATATTTATTCTAACCTGGTTCACCTAGAAAATACACCAGAGAATACCTAACTCAGAGGCCCAGTCCTCAAACCTAAGGTAAGGAATTAATAAGTATTTGCTGATTGATTAGTATGACATGGCAACAAACTTACAAAGAGATTTTCCTGTCTGTTGTTTGAAATTAAAGTTGATTTTGAATGTTTTGTGATCTAACCAAACATGGGACTAAAATATGTGGAATAATTACTATGCTGAACTCATTATATATTATCTCATTTAATATTCACAGAATCCTATGAGACAGCTTCACATATGAAGAAAATAAGGTTTACACAAGCTAAGTTGCTAAGTCACAAGCTAGTAAGTATTGGGATTTGAACCCATCTTTCTGTCCAACTCTAGATTTGGAGTTTTTGACACTATGCTAACCTGTTTTAATGAATTCACTTTAACAATCTGTATTTTATTACAGGTTCACGTTTTTCATATTTTAACATTTCAGAGACTGTGATGCATCTTATAATGAATTCTTACAATTATAAATGACAGCTTCTTTTCCCTCAATGGTATAAAATAATAGTACATTTTCCAACCAGTGGTATATTTTGGTTATGTCAGGTTATACTGTAAAAGCAAATCATCAGAAAATCTCAGGGACTCAAAACAACACAGGTTTCTAATCCTTGCTCACACAAAGCCTGCTGTGTAACTCTCCAGAGCAGGGATCCTCCATGGGATGGCTTGGCATTGCACCTCCATACCATCATGTTCTCCTGCAGTCACTGCTACAGGAGAAGGCAGAGCCCCAGAGAATCTCACACCAGCAACTGAATGCACCATCCTGTCTGTGACGTCACTTCGGTCTCCAGTCCTAGAGTTAGTCATATGGCTGTGCCCAATGGCTAGGGAGGCTGGGAAGCTTAATCCTTCCAGTTTTCCCAAAGGAGAGGAGAACTGGATATGGGTAAGCAGTTAACATTTATACCACAAAGTCATCCTGATTCAATGAAATACGATCATTAGGATCAATTAATGTAAATATCAGGGATCTATTTTATTCAAAACCAGTGAGGAATGATTGGCTTGTGGTTTGTTGTATTGCACCTAAAACATGCTTTTAAAGTTTATACTCATGTCTAATTTCAAAGAACAACATTCAAAATCAATTTCAGAAAGAACATTATGAAACAGGATAGCTATAATGCAGGGGTTTAAACCCCCTCTATAAGCTTGCAGGGCTTTGAAACCTCCTGAAATCATATACAAAACACTAAGGGCATTTTTTACCCAAGGAATGGGTTCAGATCTGTCATCAGAGTCTCAATTGGGATTCATGATTTATTCACTCCTTTATTCAACAAACACGCATTAAGGGCCCATTATATCCCAGGCACTGTTCTGGGTACTTGGGACCCAGCAGCAGACATGACAGACAAATTCCCAAATATCACAAAGCTTGCAGTCTGGAGAGGGGACAATAAATAAGCAAGTAATAACAAAGATAATTTTAGATATAGATAGGTGACATAAAAGAACTATGTGATAGAAACTGGAATAGGGTTAATATTGGGGTTAGGGGTCTCTTAAAATGATAATGAAAGACTTTATGAAGAACTTTGACATGAAACAGGAAAGATGAGAAGGAACTGCCATGCAGAGATCTTGGAAACCTGGAGAAAAGTATCCTGGTCAGAGTTTTAAAGGAGTTGAAGAAAAGCCCAGCTGGTGTGGCGCAGTGGTTGAGCGTCAACCTATGAACCAGATCACAGTTCTATTTCCAGTTGGGGCACAGGCCTGGGTTGAGGACTCAATCCCCAGTGGGCATGCAGAAGGCAGCCGATCAGTGATTCTCTCTCATCATTGGTGTTTCTAAATCACTCTCCCTCTCCCTTCCTCTCTCTGAAATCAATAAAAAATATATTTATTTAAAAAGGCGCTAAAGAATGGATGTGCTTACCATGTTTGAGAAATGGAAAGGTATCTGGAGTATACAGAATGAGGAGGAGAGCGGTAGAGGAAGTAGTGAAAAAGGAATGCAGAGGCCAGATTATATGGGACCTGTGGTTCATAGTAAGGAATTAGAACTGTATTTTAAGAGAAATGTGGACAAGTGCATAGTGTAAAGAAACCCTCCTTTTCATGGGAAAGCCTATGTTTCTTTATGGCTCCACTATTTGTACATGTCATTAACCCTGCCATTAAATACCAAGTTCACCCAGATGGGCACATCCCTAAGTGAGGATTTCGGTTCCATCTTGCTGTTCAAAGAAGATACTTGCCTCCTTTGCCATGGTGTCAAGGAGAAGACCATGACCTTCCCAGAAGAGTGGGGGCCTTCCTTCAGTCACAGGGGTATAAGCAGCTCCCCAGCTTGTAGCTTCAAACAGGCTCAAGGTTCTTTACAAGAGAATAAGAGGCTTCATCCTTTCATGAGGTCTTGCACAAGTTATTTTAGTCTTCATTTGTGAAATGAGAATAGTAAGTTATATTTTGGAATGTTGTGTTAAGGCTATATAATGCCCATTAAAGTGAACTAAAAATAAAACTGTGCAAATGACTGTATGCAAGAGAGTATTATCTGCTCTTCAGAGGATCATTATTGTTTTACAATAGCCTAAGGTTTATATTGTTGACCTTAAAAATTAACGTTAGTGGATTAAAAAACTGTGGTACATCTACACAATGGAATACTACGCTGCTATAAAAAAGGAACTTTTACCATTTGCAACAGCATGGATGGAACTGGAGAGCATTATGCTAAGCAAAATAAGCCAATCTGAGAAAGATAAATATCCCATGATCTCACTCATATGTGGGATATAATGATCAACATAAACTGATGAATAAAAATAGATCCAGAGACAAATGGCAGGGGAAGGGGGTGGGGGTTAGAGATCAACCAAAGGACTTGTATGCATGCATACTAGCATAACCAATGGACACAGACACTGAGGTGGTGGGGGTTTGCCCTTGGGGGTGAGAGAGACCTGGTTGGGGTGGGGGGTGTCAATCGGGGAAAAGGAGATGTATGTAATACTTTAAACAATAAAAAATAAAATAAAATAAAAACAGGAAAAAAATTAAAGTTAGTTACATAACCAGCAAACATGGGTTTATTCAGGAACAGCTGAGAATTGCAATTCAGAACATGCAAGCTATAGCAAAACCATAGGCAAGTCCAGAGAACCAAGGAGAAGAACATTCTTTCATAGAGAAAAGGGGATAGTTGGGAGGAGCTATTTACAAAGTGTACATGGGAGTTCGAAGGTTCTCATTGGCTGGATTATGGCAGTCTCTCATTGGCTGGGCCTTTGCTGGGGGAGGAGAAAATCTTCCTTCTTCTTACTGGGGTAGTAGAGTAGAAAACATCTTCCTGTTAGAGATGCAAGGCACAGTCTCTTGCTATTTAGAACAACTGACTATGAGTGGTAGGGTGTGAGAGCTCTCCCTACAGGCTCCAATCTTGGTTGAGGTCTCCTTTATTAATTTTCACAATAGGTACAGACTGATGCAGATGTATGCCAATGTAAGGAAATCTGGTACATGAGTAATAATCACCTACTCAATAAAAATGTTCTTGATTTTCAAAATAACGTACTTTACGATTTCTTTTATTTTTTTAAAATATATTTTTATTGATTTCAGAGAGGAAGGAAGAGGGAGAGAGAGATAGAAATATCAGTGATGAAAGAGAATCATTGATGGGCTGCCTCCTGCATGCCCCCTACTGGGCATCGTGCCACAACCAGGGGAATGTGTCCTGACTGGGAATCAAATTGTGACCTCCTGGTTCATAGGTTGATGCTCAGACCACTGAGCACACCGGCCAAGCTCAGGGTTCTTTTTAATAGCAATTTGCTAGAATGTCATAATTTTAATTTATAAAAATGAGACTTTTATATGCACTTTCAAAAACATTTCAACTGTACCTGTTAAAACAAGTATGCCAGTATCCATAATTCAAGGAAAAGGTTAATTCAGTTATATTTTTTTTAATTCTTATCCATTGAAGCAGAGATCAAAGCCCTGTATTTATTTACCCCAAGCATCTCTATAGTAAAAAAAAAAAAAAAAAAGTTAAGCTCAACTATCAACATGTATGTCTGAATATAACAGCTTTAGGTACAGTAAGCCTGTGGAAATAAATGAAGACCACCAAAAGAAGAACAAACAAAGACTTGTTTAGAGCAAGGAAGTCAGTCACTATCACTTGCATTTGGCAGAGAGTCAAAGGTAGGCATGGAAGTGGGAAAGCTTTAGAGTGGGGGAAAAAAAAGGCTTTGAGATTGTCCACATGCGGAAGCTGGATGAGTTCTAACCAGAAGATGGGCTACCTAGAAGCACGGCATCCTATGTGACCAGTTTGGGGCACATATTTGGCTTTCTCTAGTTGGTCCTGAGTTGGAAGGTGGTGGTGGTGAGGAACTGGGAAGCTGGCCGTCATTGACCAGTCCTAACCATGTGGGCAATTGTGGCAGAAAAGGTGGTTTGTCTTCTCTGGCTTGTTGCTGCAGAGGTTATGAGTCAGAGTTCTATTGTTTTATATGGTCTGGCCATTGTCCATTTGTACAGTTGATCTCTCCAGCCATTAACTATAAAATAATTTAGGTCAGACAACTAACAAGAAACTAGATCAAAGTATAAGGAAGTTTTCATTTGTGGTAAGATAATATTTTGCTGTATTAAGAAGTGTTTTGTTTTATTGTATCTGCTAATTTCTTTCTATGCCATGCACTCATTCAGTCAAACTAGACTTTGGCATCTCTTGTTTCAGGGTAAGAATGTTATAAAAGAAATTCACAGAAAAATATGAGTTGTCTACGACTTTTGAGATTTAAATGGACTTGTGAAATTCGAGGCAGGGGAAAAATAGTTGGGAGAAAAAACATTTTCCTTTCTTTGAGTTTCAAAAGTCTAGATTTTTAGTATCAAGACCCAATGACCTGCAGGATTTGTATTATAAAGTTTATACTGTGAAAAGTAGATTTGGGGGGGGGGGGATGGTAAGCCAAAGGGAGTTTTTCCCCAACCCAGAAAGAGATCAAAATTCTCTGTGGTTGAGAGCAAGTAGGAGCAAAGGAGCTTAGATGAAGGAAGATGCTTCACTGGAACACTTACTAGGTTTGAAAGAATCCGAAGGCAGTGGGCAGAAAGCAAAGAGCAGAGGCGACTTGTGCCTCCCTTCCGAGATGGAGCCTAGAAGAGTAGTGAGTCTTATAGAACAGAATAGCCCAACACTTCACAGGCAGGCACAGTGGGGGTAAGCACAGCAGTGTGAAGAAGCCTGGGCACAGATCAGGGGTGGCGGGGCATATATACTTACCATAATGTGTGTGTTCCATGTGTGGCTGAGAGTGGAGCAAGTGTGGCTCTGAGACTGGACAATTGCGGTAGTCCTCTACCCACAATGTTTAATTAGAGACTCCACAAAGACTTTCTTATCAAAGGATGTCAGGTGAAGAGGAGACTGGCTGAGGAGTAAATGCCACCCACTCACCTATCTGCCATGTGGATGCCAGCCCGTGAGAAGAGCGCAGGGGGTGGGCATGAAAGAAGACCAAATCAACTGAGATTATCTGGAGGTTTCATTTCTACCATCGAATATAGTAGTTTTGTGAAACAGAAATTGAGTTCAATGATAAAGAAAAATGTACCAAATGTCTGAGCTTTTTATATCGATACTTATAGCTCACACATATATTTACCCTATACCTCAAATTTGCTTTCAAGCAATTAAAAAATTGAGTTTTCTGACTTTTGAAGTAAATTTGAGGCCTTATCTGCCTAATCATTTAATATTTACGTAGTAGCTCTCAAATGAAAATAGTTTCTTTGTGTTTATGGCCTTAATATCTTAATAAGACCAACTTAAACACAGAACATTTTCAGTAATTAGTCAAAATTCTGGTAAATATAAAATTTAGCTTAGTATCTGAGTTATCTTAAACTGTCATTGCCTTTCTT